TATTCGACTAATTTACTACTTATATTTAGAATATGTGTTATTTTGTGAACTTTATAATGAGTTATGTATATGTAATATATTTTGTGATTTAGTTATGAAAATTATTTTAAAAGATAATTTAATTTTTTTTTATGAATTATCTAGTTAATGTAGTATAGAAGTTCTATTGTTTGTCATCGTATTCAAATTAATCTAGAATAATTTTTTTATTTGAACTATTTTATCCAATTAGTTATGTTTCATATTTGAGTGTTTTGATTTATTGTTCCCAATAATTAAGATTTTATGCTATGCTTTTATTTGTAAGTTTGTTTTATAAATTTTTATTAATAATTACTTTATTATTTATAATAATAATAATGTGATTGTCTATAAGGGCAAATTATTGCCTGGACCATGGTCCACCCAACTTGGATGGACCATGGTCCAAAACGACGTCGTTTTACCCTTTAAAAAAAATTCGCTACTTGGATTCTAACGGCTTCATTCTGCCGTTATTCACTCTCTTCTTCTACGGTCGCGAATTTCTTCTCTCCCTTTCTCTGTGCGAATTGTTTCTTCGCGATTTGTCTTCGTGAATTGTTGTTCTCCATGATTTCATTCTCTCTGCGATCAATTGCTCATCTCTTCGCAATATGGCATGGTCCACACAGTTTCTCGCTTCTCTATCAACATAATGGATGCTATGAATTCAAATTCGAGAATGAATTACAGGTCTTCACATACGATTTAGGTGATGTGAATGATTTGGTTGTTGTTGAATTGATTTTTGCAATTGATGTTGATCATAGACCCTATGTATTAAATCAGAATGCACACAAAAATGATACATTAAAATAATGTACCCTATGTATTAAAAGAATGTACCTACCGAACATAAAGAATGTACCACAATCAGAAACACAATATTCACATCAGAAAGTACACATAAATCATGCATTAAAATAATGTACCCTATGGATTAAAATAATGTACCTAATGCATATAAATAATGTACCTACTGAACAGAAATAATGTACCCTTATCCAACCAATTAAACAAACCATAGACACAATAGATCAAAGTATTGCAAAAGACAAACCTGGAATTGATTCAACATCAATGGGAGAACTCAATTCAACATCAATCAAAGCATTGACATCTCCTACAATATATAAAAAAATACAATATATATCAAAATAGCGTATAGTTGAAAATATACTTTATCATTGTTGTTTGAATTCCTAATCACAATGTATGTTTAGAATGAGATGTTTACCGGCTCAACTTTGCTAGATTACACCATTAGTACACTATAATATAGCAACATAATTTCGTATATGATCCCTATGATGGAAATTTAAATTTTTGCTTATTTGGCAACAAATTGGTTGCGAATGTGATGACCTTCGAAGATTAAGATGAGACCATCAAAATTAACAAGACAAGTGCAGAAAGCTTCCGTGACGAATAGACAAGCATCCCTTTATGACATATCAACAAAATTTGAGGAAAAGAATTTTCAATGGGAAATAAAAGAATGCAAGAGAAATATTAGAAGATTAGGATGAGACCATCAAAATTAATGCAGAAAGCTTCCAGTGATGAATACAGAAGCACCTGACCAATCAATTATATCTATCTGCTCCATCATATGACATATCACAAATTATATTCTCTATTTGATTATATTAATCAATAATTGATTAAGTATGGATCTTTTCTTGCTCCACTATCCGAATAATTCAACATATATTATATTTTTTTAAAAATGGAGAGAAAATCATCAAAACTAACTTACATAATCCCCTTTCATGCATCCAATCATCAATCAAGCATTTGGGCATTTAATCAACTAGAAAATAAAAATAAAAATAAAAATAAAAAACAGAAAACAAAATCACAGTTCAGTTGGTCTAAGAATGACGTTAACGTTTTACATATTGAATGAGAAACATAATCCATGTAGTCAGGGACGGAGTCAGGAATTCGGTTGAGGGGGGCGAAACAGTACAGACGGATTCAGAAAATTTTTCCAGAAAAGGCGAAACATTAAAACAAAAGAGATAATTTAAAAATAAATAAATAAACTACCTAAGAAATATAATTGTAAATATTGTTGGATGTGGACGAAAAATAAAACACATCGAAACTTTATTAAAATATTCATAACAAAATATGAAACATAATTAATAAAATAATTTGAATAGAAAACACATTATAAATTACACATCTTATTATAGAGAGTGTGTGTGTGTAATATTAAAAAGCTATTAAAAAAGAATTGGAAACTATGTCAATGCTAAGATTGGAACCCTTAACCTCATTATTACCAATGATGTGCTCTACCACCTACTCTAACTCACTTGTTATTAACATTTTATAATTTTTTTACACTAATATTAAAACATGTACTATATATACATATACATACTATATATGGGGTTGGGGTAGGGTGAGGGGGGCAGCTGCCCCCCCCCTCTCCCTCCGTCCCTGCATGTAGTCCATCCCAATAGAAAACCAAACATGATGATCTTACTATTATGCATTAAAATAATGTACCTTATGTATTAAAATAATGTACCTAATGCACATAAATAATGTACCTGAATCAGAAACACAATATTCACATCAGAATGTAGAAAATAATGTTCAATCACTTTGAATATAATGAAATATTGAACCCTATTAACAGGAATAATCTATCTTATACATAGTGTAAACTCAAACGAGTAAGAACCCTAGGTAGTCAAACGAGTAACAATTCCTAATATCTGCTTGAACAATATTTTAAATAATTTTTAAAACCCTAGATAGTTGAAAATATACTTTATTAGTGTTGTTTGAATTCCTAATTGCAATGTATGTTTAGAATGAGATGTTTACCTTCAAGAAGCTCCTATATTGTGCAGCAATGAAGTCTGACCGTCGTCTTCCTCTGTGTTTGCAGCAGCAGAGATAGGTGTTCGGAGAAGAGAAGATAGCGTCCGAGAGGTGAGAGAAGCAGATTTTATATTTAAAAAAAAAAAAAAAAAAAAAAAAAAAAAAAAGATGCGCGACGTTCGTCGGGCATCTAACGACGCCGTCTCTCCTTAAGTGGAGAGACGGCGCGTTTTGGGCCATGCTCTATCCAACTTGGCTGAACCATGGTCCATGCAATAACAATTGGTCTATAAGCTATATTTATTTTTAAATTATTTATTCATTTTATAAACTATATAATTCTTTATTTATGAAAGCACCGATGCGGTTATTAATTATTTTGAATTTACGAATGCATCTATAATTGTTTTCATGTGTATGTAAAATTATTAAAAATTTAAGTTATTGGACATTACTATTTTTTCTTTATTTAATTTAAATTTTAGTTATAAAAATATATATTAATTTAATATAAGACCATTTTTGTTGCTATGTCCTGGACCTATACAATGATAGGATCAGCCCTGGTCAAAAGAATGTACTAATCCCCTTTCCACCTCAACGAAACTATCTCGTGACACCTCCTCAAAGGCAGTGTTGCCAAAAATTATAAAAGGATGATTGGAGTCTTCTATATGTAACAGCAAGTAGTAGAGATGACTTTATGTATAGTGTTGGGTTTTGTGCAAGATTTCAGGGAGACTCAAGAGAATCTCATTTCATATAAAGAAGATTATAAAATATGTAAAAGAGACAATTGATCATGGATTGTGGTATGCAAGAGAAACATGATATGAACTAATTGGTTACAATGATGCAGACTGGGCTGGCAACGTTGAAAATTGAAAAAAGCGCTTCAGGTGGACGCTTCTATGTTCGGAATAATTTGGTTTTCTACTGGTTCAGTAAGAAACAAAATTCAATCTCACTCTCCACAGCTGAAGCGGAATATGTAGCTACAGGTAGCTGTTGCGCACAATTTTTATGGATGCGCCATATGCTGAACGTCTATGGGTTTGAAAATAGAACCATGGATCTGCACTGCGACAACACCAGTGCAATTAACATAGCAAAAAATTTGGCGCAACATTCAAGAACAAAGCACATAGATATTAGGCATCACTTCATAAGAGAATTGGTTGTACAAGGAGACGTCAAGCTGCACTACATTTCAACGGATAATCAACTGGTAGACTGATGAGTACAGTGCCAAATATGCCTTATTTTATGAAGTGTTTGAGTGGTCTATATTGCATTGTTTGAGTTTTTTTTAGGTTGAATTGTGCGCTTAATTGCTTGATTCTAACATGGGAACACTTGTAAGGCATTTGAGTGGCTTGAAGGCAATTAGAGGCAAGAAAAGGGTAAATAAAGAAAAGCATGGAAAATTGGGATCCACATAGTTGTACGTTAGTACACGAGCCCATACAAGAGGAGGCCAAGGATTGCGGACTGGATCACGATCGTGGCAGTGGCCGAATTAAAAAAGACGGGTATTAGCGACGTACACGCGTTCAAGAGTGCGTTCCGACGACATATTACTTTCTATAAATAAATTGTTGACGGAATTCTTTCTACAACTTTTAGCTTAGATTTCATCTCTCTAAATTAGATATACTTTCTCTCGCTTCTAGACCAAGCTCTCAACTCTCTCCACTTGAGAGAAGATTTTCTAAGGTTAAGGAAGAATTGAAATCACAATATTATTATTGTGTACTGTCGTTTGAACTATACATTTTCAGGTAGCCATCAAAATAAAATTATTTATACTTATCTACAACGGTAAAAACAGAATAAATATTCAAGGATGACTAACCCTTGTGACTTTTGAAGCTTAGCCATTAAGTCTGGAGACTAATATCCATTCAATGAAGAAGGAGATAACCCAACCAAGTTGGTCTATTGATTTGGTAACCATAAGGATTTAAATTTAACTCCTAACAAGGCAACAGGAACGATCTATTAGCCTTTTTAATTTGAACCATTCAGCCATAAGTAACCTTAGCTGGTTTACCTCCTTTATGGTCCTTTACCAGCTAAGGTCACAAAATAAAATTTACTCAGTGCACATTCTGAGTAGTGACTACGAGTTTCTCTCGTCATCCAAAAAAAATTATATATTCAATGAAGGAACTGCGAACTTTCCACATTGTCGTGTTATGAAAGCATCAAGTATATAAAATTGGAAGATGTCCATAGATAATAGCAAACAATGTGTCGACCATTAATGGGATTGGCTATATTATGTATGGCAAGTGAAAGTGAAAGGGAATAGATCACCCATAGGATCGCGTTTTGACAGAGTTGAGAAACTTGAAATCAGCCACGGTTTAAACTTTTTCTCAATTTCATTCTTCTTGTAACAGCATTGAGGTGCAGGACAAGAGTGATGACATCTCTTCTTGAGTTGCTGAACCAAAGCCCTGCCATCGTATTCTACCAAATTTGTCGAGCAGAAAGATGTACCTGTATAGATTTCGAGAGTGAGGCGTGCCATTCGTTGCTATTCATCTGAGTTAACAACATAAAGAATGATTGGACAGAAATGAAATGCTTTTGTACCCTGTCAAAAGGTTCAGTACTTTGAGCTCTTTTCTGAACTCATAATGATCCCCAAATGAGTATGTGATCTGTCTCTGCAATACGTCCTCCCGGCCATTAGGCTTAGGTTTCCTCATTACACGAAGAAGTAGCTTTTTCATAGGATTGCGTGATAATAACCATGAATCTATGAAGGATATCTGCAGATACAAAATGACAGTTAAGAAAGGTTAACATTAAGAAAGATTCTAAACATTCTCGTGCATGATGATGCATCAGGCAAAAATAAAAAGTCTAGATCATGTATTTCTCATCCTGTTTTCACAACAATAAAATTTTGCACTTCATAGAAACCGATTTCATGTTTCATATAAAGTCCTCCATTTTTCAGAATGGTCATATCAACACATTTGCATTAATATGATTTCAACAGTAAGTGCAATGCTCCTGATCATCATTTGCATATTGGGGGCCTATGATTGGACCTAGAGATTGCATTTCAATCCAAGAGAAATGCAGAGTAAACTGATATGTGCTATATAGACTTATCACAAAAACATTTCCACTGACTAGTTCCGAAAACAATGTTAAAGCCCAAGTACCGCAGTAGTGACTCGGTAGGCAAATATGCTTAGGTGTTCTGACATAATTTTTGCAAGCTCTTTTTCATAATTTTCTTCCATGTGATCAAGTAATTGGAACTTCATATTACATACATACTTCGTAAATACTTCTCTTTGCATCTCACACTCTTCTATCACTTATTTTACTCATCTGGTCACTTCTCTTATTTCCACAATATTCACTAAAAAACAAAGGGAACTATGCAAACTTCAACGGATCTTATACCTTGTCTTACGGTTTTTGCTTGTGAGATGTGGATCTGTGGTACACAACAATAAGGGTGAAAGATAGATTTGACATTTTGACCTGTGTTTCGCTAATTGCTATTATGATCAATTGAAGCCCTATATTATTTCTTTGGCATATTAAACTTGCAGATATTCAGTTACCCAGATTGTGACAGAATAGTCTGGAGTTTTAAGTTCACATGACATGTCTAAAAACACTACAAGACATCATTTATCAAGACCCGAAAAGTCGTTCTAAACTTCTAATTATCAGAAGCCAAAACATCAGCACTCATTACCACCATACACAATCCCCCCCCCCCCCCCCCCCCCTCTCCTCTTCATCCCCTACCTCTTTCCAGAAACCTATTTCTCATACCTTCAACAATGTTGTAGAAGGCGCTAGGCACTAGTCGGGCAATAATAAGAAAAACACAGCAGTGTACACATTGCACACCAAGAAAAAAATAAATAAATAAATAAAGAAGAAAACACTCAGCCAATTTGTCCGACTCGGGCACCGAGTTAGCCTAGTTCGGCATTGAGTTGGGCAACTCGGGCGCCTAGGCCGTGTAGTCGGCCGACTAATGTCCTCCTAAGAGAAAAATCCCCTCGGCCTAGAGGCGCCTAGGACAATGTTAACAACAATGCCTTCAAACATCCATTTAATCAGTTTTCTTTATAAGAATTCATCATACATTTCCATCCATTTAATTTTATTTTACTTTTATTTTCTTTTTTATCACATGCTATGAAACCCATTGCTTGAGAGTAGGACAAAGGTTTTTGGAGTAAAAGAAGCAAAGAACAAATCTGATCACTGAAAATAAAATGTTGGTTTTTAAGCTTACTTGGATTGCTTAACATTTCTTTTGATTTTGTTGACTATACATAATTCAATCTGTTCGCTTGCTGTGAAAATGCCCAATTCTGCCAAAAAAAGAGGGAAGAACAACAACAAGAGGTGGATGGCAGTGGGGGAAGGATCAACAGGAGGGGTGGCAATTTGGTGGGGGGGCGGAGGCAGTGGCTACGTGGCTTTTATATGGTTAAAATGGTGGAGGTAGTGGCATTTAAATGGTGTACTTTTATATGGTGAACATGGTGGAGGTACTGGTATTTAAATGGTGTAATGTGCAGTTTTATTATGGCTGTGATGGTGGAAGTGTTGCTGGATTTGCTTTGGTTGAGGAAGGTGATTTTGATATGGTGATGGTGGTGGTTTTGGACAATGGAAAGACTAATAAGAAAATTTTCCTTTATACATTTATTTATTTAAATTTGTGAGATCAGTCATATGAAGAATTGTGTAACTAGTTATGCGTTAAAGTTCTTGCCAAGTCATCTCTACTTAACATCGAGTTCACAATCCTATAGAATTGAGGCTAATCGGCCTATATCTGGAAGAAGTTTGTTCAAATCAGTCGAAGAAAAGTAGTACATGGATTCAACTGACAATAAATGCAAAACATACCTCATATAAGTGGACCTTATTTGAATCTTTGAATGAATCAACAAATGGCACACTCCAAGAATGAATCATTGGCTGTCAAAGATGTAAGAATTATAAGAAACAGTGTGCACAGGAGGAGTTGAAATGGTACATGCTTACATCTCCAATTATGCATTCCTCTTCAAGACAATCTAAACAGTGTTGCAAAAATCGCGCCTAGGCGCCGATTAATCGGTAATCGGCGCCTAGGCGCTAGGCGGTAGGAGGCCACCGCGAGGAATGGCCTCGGCGGCCTCCTCCGCAGCCGGCCGGTTCGGCAGTTCGGCGATTTTTTTTTTTTTTTTTTTTTAATGTCGAAAAAGTTTCGGAAGGCATAACTTTTGACTCTGGTTATCCGTTTTGGTCCACTAATTTCTCAAAAAAATGCTTCTTTAGCTCTTAATTTTTGTTTTTTAAGTATTTAGATGGTTTAAACAATCTTTTGAACAATTTTACAACCACTTTCGTAAATAGTTTCTAAGAAATAACTATGGAAACCTTATGTTTTATTACTAAATTTTAATAAAATTAAAATTTTTAATTTTATTTTAAATTAAAAAAATTAAAAAAATAATAATAAAATAATAAAAAAATTGGCGCCTAGGCGCCCCCTTGCCGCCTAGGGGGCGCCTAACGTGTTTTGCAACATTGAATCTAAAACAAAGTACAGAACAATTGTCCTTACCCTTTTAGTGGTAAATCAAAGATTCAACCTTTCAAATATATACAGAGAACAAAGAATCAACAAAAATTTCAGGGCATCTGAATAAACTGAGATTCAAATTAACTAATAGAAAGCTTGAAAAGGAAGAGCAACCAAGTTTAATCATAGTAACAGAAAACATAAGCATTGGAGATAAACTACAGTCAAGTAAAAGAACTTCTAACCTCCGAGCTTGCACGAAAAGAAAGACACAATAAGGATGCCCTTGGCACATCTGCATCACTATCTTTTCCACTGCACATACTAGGCAGCTTAAGGCTTGTGCCGTGTGAGTAAGTCACCTCCAATGCAGGAAACTTTACAGCAGATATTGCTGGTATTATAATCTTATTAGCCATTGCAATCTACAAAAAAGTTGCACAACTCCAAAATTATACTAACTTCAATAAAATTCAATCAAGCATCTTCTACATAGTATAATTTCATACCTTACCACCATGTTTCTTCATTTCAGACATGTCAGCGAAATAACCCCGGCTCATTTCATCCGTACTGCCCTAACTCCAAAAAAGAAAAAGTTGCATACCCCATACAATTAAAAATAAACTCCATGATCCCATTAGCACTTCGATATGGTAAGATACACCAATAAACTTACAGCCTCGCGCGTTCTTTCTCAATTGCAGCCTTGTTTCCAAGCTGCAACGTAAAATGGATTTTCAGCACATAGCAACCAAAAAAAATCAATTTTGAATAACCAAATTAGTTCATTCAGATAAATTCAAGTATATTCTCGGGAATCTGAGGGCGGGGAGGTTTCCGAACAGACCTGGTAAATGTCGAGGAAGCGAGTGGAGGAGCATTGATACGGAGGATTGTGTTGAGAGATGAGGGGGATCAACAGCTTGTCTTGTCTCACTAACGAGCTTCTTGAACTGAGAAATGCAGAAGCTGAGGATAGTCTCGTCAGCCTCAACATCTTCAAAGCTTTTCTATGTGAGTGTGGAATCTGATCGATTCAAACTCTGTTTCTGTAATACAGTAATAGGTTTCGGGAATTGGGAGTTGCGATTGAAGACGACGAAGAGTAACGGAATTGGGTTAATTTGGATCTTTTAAAGCCCGGGCCCAATTCATCACGAATCTTTGAATTATGGACTCAATTAGGAGGTCAGATTGAAACCAATTCATTGCAATCGGTATACCTGCACCACGGTGCATAGTGCATTCTGCGCAACGTCATTTTGGGAGACGCGGTAGGAAGTTGACATGATTATGTATATTTTTTATTATGTATATTTATGTATACAATTATGTACATTTTTTATACATTTTATATATATATATATATCTGTGTGTGTGTATACACACACGTGATCAATATGATCCAAGGTTCATATGATAATATGAATGATGAATTGTTCAATAGCTATTTGAGAATCATGAAAGGATATAAACGCACCCAAGCAGGACATTTTCACCCTACATTTTTTATTTGATATTTGGAGCTGTATGTAAAAAATGAAATTAGAAAAAAAAAAAAAAAAAAAAACTAATAATGCATTTTATATGTGCCCTTTAGCTCGAAGACAAATTTAAAATTACGGAAAACGTGCAAACATTTTTCAAATGTTGAGTGTTTTTGGTATTAAAAAAAAGCATTTTAATTAATAATGCATTTTGTCAAACTTGTTTCTTCTAAAGGTGTGTTTGGTTCGAACATGAAAAAAGGAACGGGAATCAAATGTTTAGAAATTGGAATGGGTTTTGGAGAAAATATTTTGCATGTTTGGTAGTAAGGTGAAATTGTAAAGATTACCAATATTGATGTTTGGTTATGTATGAACCTATAATCGGAATAAAAGTTTTAAAAAACAACACCAAAAAAAAAAAAAAAAAAAAAAAAAAGCAATTGATCATAAGAGTGACGATAAAGTGAGTATGCAATGCAGTGAGAAAGTCGATGAAGTGAGGAGAGATGAGTGAGAAGGTGACAAAATCGGGAGGCGATAAAATGAGGAGGGATAAATTGAATTAATGGAATGATACTTGATTTAAATTAGGTAATGTGTTTTGTAATTGTAGGGATAATCAAATCATATACCTATGTTTTATAAAGTTGTCAACCAAACAATGTTTATGACTTTCAATCTTTCATTCACATTCCTTGTGTAAGTTGTGTTTAACCCTATGAACCAAACACACTCTAAAAATATCGATCATATTACATGTCATATTTCTTTGATTTACGAAAAATTCGCATCCACTATTCGAAGAACTGAATTAGAAGCTAGAATAAAAAATGCATGTTTCATACTGTAAAGGAAGTCCCATTAAAGAGTTTATACAATCTATGCCAACGTATTTTATGAGTGTTTGTTTTTCATGTACCCGTTTCCTACTGTGAGAATTTGGACGCAAATTATGCTGAACAACATGGTGCACACGGTTGCAAAACGACGTCGTTTTGATTAAAAATGCACGTCTCATTTTAAAAAAAATTTAGGTTCGATTTCAGGCAATAGTATTTTTTTTTTTGTGTGCATAATTTGAATTATATATCCACAAATTCATAACTATATATCCACAGTGAATGAATAACACAAAATCCAGAATGAATGAACTAAATATCCACAATGAATGAACTAAAAATCCACAATTAATGAACAACATAATGCTACTAAGGGGAATTGAAACTGATTTTTTTTTAAATGGAGGACGTGCGTTTTTAGTCAAAACGACGTCATTTTGCAACCGTGTGCACCATGCATGGTACACACAGTTGCACAGCATAACTATTGGAATTTGGAGGCGCTGATGAACAAGTATTGGGTAGGGTGGTATTGGCTCTAATTGTAGAGGGATTCATTGTCTCAATTTGGAGGCGCTGATGAACAAGTCGCTATTTATGGGATGTTTGGTAAATAGTTGTTAGGTGATTAGGTTAATGAGTTTGATTAGTTGATAGCATTAACTGATTATAAAAATGTTTGGTAAATTAAATAGCTGATTACATGTGAAACAATTTCTTTTAAAAATTGATTGAAAAAAACTGTTTTGAACAGTTTTTTGAATTTTAGCATTTTAAAGTAATAATTTATTACAAAAATCTAATTAATTAAATACCTGTATTTATTATTTAATCAAGTTAAACAATTAATAAATAAATCAAAATTAAGTGATAAACTAATTATATTTATAAAAAGTGCCATATATAGCTACTTGAGTTCAACTTTTCATAGCTAGCCAAGCAGGATGGAGATTTCTTACATCCCCAAGCTCGCTAGGTGGCACACACTTTCAAGAAAAGAATACTTCCCAATGTGGTCCTTTCTTAATTGTTAGTTATATACTTATATTATGTAGCCTAAAAATGTGAAGAGAGAAGAATTGAGAGAATAAAAATAAAAGCAGGGAGGGAAACAAAGCCTGATACGTTTACCAATTCATGAAAAAAAAAAAAAAAAAAAACAAATTTTTCTAAAATAAAAAATAAAAAATTAGAGAAAGTAAACAAAAGATTGAAGTAAGCATAAACATATATTTTTATTTTTTTTTGCATGCCATCATACATTTTAGAAAATTAATCAAACTGCATGCCCTAAAACATACAGACGATCAGACCATAATACAACCTTTTAATTAATCAAACCCTGTCGTACTAAGAATAAATTGCCAAAGGATTGGAATTGCCCTGCATGGAAACAGAAGAAGCTTCTGCTAGCTTCAATTCATCCATGCCCATTCCTTCCGTCAAGACTCTTCTCCCATCCGCCCGGCGACCACCACCCTCCACCGCCGTGCAGCCCAGATCCGCCGCCGTGCATCATGGCGGAACAGCACAGTAGTATCTATCATCAGTATGAAAGCAATTAATATTAATGTAAAGTGATGATGTAAAGTGAGGGCTGAGATTGTGTGTATATATAGGTGGCGGAAGAGAGCGATAGTGTGTGTAGAATATGCGGTTGCTTCTTTCAAAGGGTTTTTGGGAAGAATGGAATCTTCCAAAGGATATGCGGCGACCACCTGTATTGGCTCTACATTTTATGTCTGCACTTTTTATTTTTAGGTTTCATCTTTTGCCTGCTGCCGTTCAGTTTTCCGTATAATATATATGCTATTATACCTCAATGATGCACGCCTCTATTTCTATATAACCTATAAATCATCACTTTTTACCACATAAAATTAACAATTAAAATAAATGTTGAGCAGAAGTCCGTGATGGGTCAAGTCGAGCAATTGGTTAGATAGGGATCAAACCTCTAACCACATGCTTAAAAGACAAGGAGCTGAACCACTACACCAACCATGTTGGTTAGTATACCTCGTAATATATTATATCACATGTCACACTTGTATTATTTGTGAGATGGGTCGAGTCAACATGTAAATGTAATACGTATAGTAGCTAAAAAATGTAATACTAATTAGGAATAAAGCATTTGTTACTTATAACAGAAAATGTAATACTTTTATATTTTGATGTAAAAGTATTACATTAATGTTTTTATTATTTATAAAGAAAAATGAAATATTTTTAAATCAAAATATAAAATTATTACATTTTTTAAAAAAATATTACGCTTTCTCATATAAGTAATAAACATTTTATTTATTATTAATATTACATTTTTTCAGTATAATTTGCTCATTCGATTTTTTGTCTAATAATACGTTTGGTGTATTGAAAAAATAATAACAATTCCTCGCCCCTCGCGTCCATGTCTCGGAGTTGCACACTTGCACCACCCTAGATTAGGGATCCATTGTCTGATCCCGTTCATCAATTCTTTTTTATTTTGTTAAAATAATAACTCATATATATTCATGTCTATTTATACCATTTATAAGTTTATAAATATGGAGTAACTATTACTAAAAAGTGAGGAAATTTATTAATGTTATATATTTTGTGTTTTGTCAGAGATACAATAGAGAAAGTATAACTTGTAACTTGTAAGTGAGGGGCCCTTGGGGTTGTGGATTCAACCTTTTGAGAAGAATATTGTATGTAAAATTTTTCCTAAATAGTATGTGTACTATTAGGTATGTGAGGCATTATGTTTGGTTTTGAAAATTTCTTTATTTGCAAACCTTGAGATATTCAATGAAATATTTAACTTAGCTCAATTATGGTGCAGCCAACATAATCATTTATCCATAATTTACCTCACAACTATATATCTCAAAAACTTATCAATAAGTGTGAATAGGCAACAAACAAGTTAGCAGAACGGGCCTTTGGACATGAGAGAGGGCTAAAGTATAGTACGTGGTTTAATAATGTTCTTGGGTTAATCATTATTGTGTGGACCATGATTCACACAATTATGTGGATCATACTATCAAATAATGTATATTCAGTACATAAATAATGTACTTTTAATATATTAAAAATGTACATTGTATTTAAAGAAAGTACATTATTTGAGTACTGAAAATACATTATTTTGTATAATGCATATTCAGTACACAAATAATATACTTTTAATATATTAAAAATGTACTTTTTGGTATAATCCACACAACACAGTGGGCATGCATGGCTCACCCAAGCTTTGTTTGTAGATGAGATAGATTGTGTTGCTAGTTTTAGGTGATCCCTTCTCTTGTATTAAACAACAACAATAATAATCTTAATTCTTTTAATAAAATTTAAATTTGTAATTTCTTAATGACGAAAAATATAATCTCTCTTTCAACGTACCAATTTGGTGAAGCCTTATCAATACCAACCTAGATTTTGATTGACATGAAACAACGGCTTAACATTGTTGTTTTATAAGTGGGGTTACTTTGGAATTGGACTAAGAATGAAGGCCAAACCCACTAAGCCATATATAGCACTCAAAAACCCCCATGAAAATTCTTTGCACTACTTTCTCCTTAATTAATTAGCTTGCTTTTTAGTCAAATTAAAGAGGGTTTTACTTTGTTTTGAGTAAAATAGAGAAAAAGGTAAAAGTGAAATGATATTGCGCGAAGCAGAGGTAGGTGATAGAGGAGAAGGAAATGGAAAATTGAGTTGTGATGGCAGAAAGTTGTCATTTATGTCGGAATATGAGTCTGTGGTGGTGCGCGTGCACCATTATGTGCTTACCACAATTATACCTAATTCTC